AGGGGAAAAGGCCCAGGCGCCCTCTCCTGCCCCCCGCCACGCTCAGCCACGGCCCCGCTCCTCTGCCGGGTGCTGCCCTGTGGGTCCCCGGGGGCTGCAGGACCCCCCCAGCCTGGGCAGCCCCCGGGAACCCCCAGGGCCAACCGCAACAGCTCGCACTCCCAAGCCATCAGGTGAGAGCAGTGGCCCCAGGGGGGTCCATCCCCAGCCTCCAGCACACCGAGGGACAGCCTGCATGGCTCAACATCTCTGGCATGGCCACCACCACAGGGACATCCCTGGGCAGCAGCGTTCCCCCCATCCCCTTTGCTGCACCCCACAACCCTTTGGATACGGGGGACATGGCAGGTGACCTCGCAGTGTCCGATGAGGTGCTTCTGGCAGAGGCCCTAAGGCTCTTTGGTTGCTCCCTGGACCTGGCGGGGCTCAGCCAGGATGGTCCTGCCAGCAGCCCCAGACCTGGGGACCCTGATGGCACCAGCGCAGCCGTTCCCCACCGTGACTTCGCCTCGCTCTCGCTGCCCGAGCAGCTCCTCACACCCGACTACAGCATCCCCGAGACCAGCGATGCCATCCTGAGCCTCGAGGAATTCAACATCATCGGGTTGGAGCCCCAGGAGCTGTGGGGGGAGGTGGGGGGGAAGGACCTGCCACCATCCCAGCCTGCCATGACAAAACAGCGGGTGAAGAAGCGGGGGAAGAGCACCTTGCCACAGCCCCCCAGCAAGCACAGGGCAAGCACAGCCAGCACAGGGGCACCACGGGCAGAATTGGACCCACAGCAAGGGCAAGATGAAGATGGGTGGAATGGGGAAGGAGGGGTGGTGTGTTTGGGGGTGGAGGGGGGATTAGAGTAGCTTTAATGGCATCTTTGCTCTTGGTTTTTTTTCTATTAAAAGCTGTTTCGTCCAGAACCGCTCCGTGCCTGTGTGGGAAGGGGAGGGAGCACTGGGAAACAGCACCCGAGAGGTGCAAAAGCCCTGCTGAGCCCCAAATCAGAGCTGGCGAGCCCCAAAGGGCACCAAGTCACCCCTAGGGCTGTCACTACCAGCAGGGCAGGCAATGGGGGTGGGGGGGGACACGGACAGACAGACTCCCCTGTCCCCTTCCCTAGGGGAAGCAGCTCTTTGATGGGGGAGCCAGGACAGATGGATCCCTGCAGAAGTCACAGACACGGCCCCTGGGACACACAGAAAGCAGCACTGAGCCCCTGGGACAAGGGCAGCCCTTGGGGGCCAGGGTGGGGACAGACGCAGACAACGAGGGCTGCAACGCCTTCGTCCTGAACACAACCAGCGTCCCCTCGAGCAGGGACGGGGCTCGGCACAAAGCCCTTCAGAGCCTCAAGACAATCACGCCCTTCCCCGGGTTCCCACCACGCTCAGCCCTGGAGCCGGGCTTTGCCTCACTGCCGCAGCAAAATAACCCCAAATCACCCCAAGAACGGCGAGGGAGGGAGCTGCAGGCCAAGCAGGGCCCCTCCGCCCCTTGGGCAGCTGCGAGACCAGGAAGGGGGGGCAATAATCATAGAACCACAGAATCATTGGGGTCAGAAAAGCCCTTTCAGCTCCCCCAGCCCAACCCTTCCCCTACCCCTGCCATCCAACTTGAGGCCGGTGCCCCTCGTCCCATCGCCCGTTACCAGTGAGAAGAGCCCAACCCCCACCTCACTACAGCCTCCTGTCAGGCAGTTGTAATAATAATAATAATAATAATAAAAATACCACTGCACCAGCCAGAAAGTGCCTGGAAACTTCATCTCTCTTTATTGCCCATTTCCCTTCCGAGCTCCACAACGTGGGACCAACGCAGCCAACAGTGCCTTTGGGAAGCAGCCTCACCTCTCTGGGTCTGGCTTGCAGAAGGTGCAGCGTGAGGTCCCCGTCGGGGCAGACCCCAGCGCCGGGGGGGATAAACCTTCCTTGGGGCAGTCCCGGTGACGCCGTGGGGG